CGCGCGGGGGGGGGGGGGGGGGGTGGGGGGGGGGGGGGGGGGGGGGGGGGGTGAAATTGCAGAAGAACATACAATGATGGAGCCCTCAATGCTCCACATCGGAGACCAGATTGGGCGAACGGTTTTCCCACATCTTGCTCCCCACCTGTGGCGTCCAGCCTTCGGATGGCACCATCCACGGCCCCTCCAAGCTCAGCCTCCTCGGCCTCCAGAAAGATCCCCTGGGCACATAGAGAGAGTGAGAGACGTCAGGGAGTGTACAGCTTGAAGCACAATACCAGCAGCAGCACCAAAACATTGCAACGTGCCTGCTGGTAGAGCTGGGATATATACTCCCTCTGGCTCCGCAGCACAGCCATGGTCGTCCTGGCAGGATCGATGGAGGGAGGTCAACGCTAAGGATGTGGGAATCTGATTTATGTTACCCAGTCAAACATGCTACGCCGCCAGGTGGAACGTAACAAGACGGAGTTGCTCTTTCCAAAGCAATGACTGGTAAACGCATTCAATCTTCATCAACCAAGGTCCCTCCCTTCACACACACCGGTACGATTGGAGGGCGTGGAAATGGCTGGGCGCCTCAGACTGCCGAGAGACCAGGCTCTCCCGTGCGGCAGAAGCTTCCGAGTGGACCTCCTCGCTGATGTCGCTTGCCCCAGCCCACTGTGCGTCGGAGGAATGGAAGGCGGAGCGTTGGAAAACCATTCGAGACAGTGTCAATGCCCAGTCTCTGCCAGCCCCAGCCCCCTAGGCTCACCCTGAGTTCCCGCAGGAGGCCCTGCGACATCTCCAGGGCAGCCTCACAGGCGGTGACCATCTGCCGGCTCAGGGATGCTTGTAGCAGGGCTGCGTGGGGTAGGATAGGGGGTAGGAGTGATAACCTGGCGGAGATGTCGGGGGATACACCACCTGGGGCTGCGGCTGGTTGACCAGATCCATCACCACCATGCACGACCCCTTCACTTCTCTCACCGGTGAAAGGCAAGAAAACGAAGGCGGCGCAGCGCTGCCCAGCGCGCGGCAGCCGCTGCGGCAGCACCAGGAGCTTGCGCAGTATGACGGCCTGCGCCCGGGTGCCCCACCCGCCGCTGCACCAGGATCAGATTGGGGCGGGTGGGTGGGAAGGTGCCGCAGTCATCTCGGCCGAGTCGATGCTCGCCTGCACGACATCATCCTTGATCCAGGCAGGCGATGGTCCCGAGCAGGCATGGCCCCAAAGGAGGAGAGCACAGCCAGCCGTGCCGCCGCCTCACCTCACATCCTGGTCCACCAGGGACCAGAGGGTCAGCGGGTCGCTGGGGTGGAGATCCACATGGTGCTCCGCGACCTCGCAGGCCAAGATGAGCACATCCAGCCCCTGTGGAGGGATGATGTTGCACCTTTCCTCCACGGCAGGCATGCGCTGGGAGGACAGGCCCCGCCCACAGGCCCGCAGAGGAAGTCAAAGACCCGCCACACGCACCTGGGAAGAAAGCAGGCCCGCGGCACGCTGGCGCTGGAAGTAGCGCTGAAGTCCAGTCAGCAGCTGGCCGCGCTGGCTCGCCTCGTCGCTGCCAAGCGCGGCGCTGCGGGTGAGGCAGGAGAGCGCGGCAGGGATGAGGTTGCCGGCACGGGCAGGGTGCGTTCAAGGGCGGAATCAGAACTCGCATGATCCAAGTTCCCGGACGCAAACAACAGCACAGAGGGCCCCTTGCACTTGAGGTCGCTAGGGTCTAGGTGTGGGAAGAGCTTGGGCTGGGAGACGAGGCGGCTGCCGCCGGGGACGCTTGGCATTCGCTGGTGTACAGCGACACTCCTGCACGTTCAGGTAGCAAGGGGTGTTGGATGCAGGCTTGCGGGGACGTCAAGCAACACCAGGTGACGGTGCGTCGCCCCCTCGTAGCGCCCATACACTCCGCTCACCGTGCGGGTGCTCCATGTTCCCGCTTTGCAAGGGAACCATGGGTCTGCATGGCTGCCTCCCAAGCCTGCGCATCGATGGGAGCTTGAGGGTTGCTGCTGTCATATAGCAGCACCACAGTCTCCTCAGCTGGCACGGGGTCCGATTCATGGTGGGCAGGCACGACGGCGCTGGCCACGCCAGCCCTGTGAAAGTGCTGCAGGAAGTCCGGCGCGGAGAACAGCTTTCTCAGCCTGGACATGCCTGACTTCTGGGGCTGCCCGGGGGTAGCTGCTTCCAGGTCTGTGGGCAGCGAAAGAAGGATCTGCGTAGTCCCAGGCCTCAAAGCACAGCCCAAGCATTTTTGGAGCAAACCTATGAGAGAATGCCTCAACACCCGCGGACGTCGACAGATTCAACCAGGTCAACACCAAAAGCAGAGATCGAGGAAACATGCCTGCCAACTGACCGTGTGGCAGTAAAATCTCATCCGATTTGAGTCCAGCTTGCTCCGGCTGTAGAGACGCAAAGCGTCCTGACCGGTCACTCCCACCCCCCGACTCGGGTAGAGTCGGAGCTGGCGTACTCTCCGTGCCACCGCTTGCCCCGACGGTCGCAGATGAGTCCCTGTCGCCCACTGGGAGACTGGTGCTTGTGCCGCCGCTGGCCTTCTCGAAAGATGTCATGGCTGCGAGGTGGCTCGTCATCTCCGCCACCTGCTCCCAGTTGGCACCTGCGGGGGGGAGGACAAGCGATAGCACCAGATCAACAATTGCTCAAACAGCATCCACAACTTCATAGGCCATCAGCACAGCAGGAGACAGTGCCTTGGACCCACATCTGTTCTTCTGAATTCTTAGTGGGAGCATCTGGCAGCATTGGTTCTCTACACACAGTTCCATACCTTGCGAAATGAAGCTGTGGTCCGTCCTCAGAGCCGCAATCTTGTTGTCGGTAAACTTTTGCAGGAGACTCAGACCATGCAGGCGCAGCTGCTTCCTGGCAGCTGACATCTGTGGGTTGGGTGTGGGGGCATTCTGGCTTGCTGCAGGCCTTTGCTTACGGGTGTTGCCCAACAAAGCCCTCAATTGCACATGAGCAGTGTAGAGCTCATGCCTTGGCAGCCCTGCAGCCACCAGCTCACTTTTTTAATGCCAGACCAGGTCATGATCGGTCCCAGCAAGGGAGCGTTGACCAGGAGGGTGAGCAGGACAAATGCAGATGTCCACACCACGATGGTCGCGTTTTCAGAGGCTACAGGTCGGGCAAGTGATGAGTGATGAGTTGAAAAGCATGGCCCACTAGCCTGAGCTCAATAGTTTGTAAGTCCCAACACCTTCCTGCCTCTGGTCTTCTGGCCACGCGCTCAGAACTTCATGCCTGCACTGTCACCATTCCAGACAACCCGTGCGACTTACCAACCACAGCCGATGAGTGGAAGTTTGATGTGATGATGAGGTCCGCCACCAGGATCAAGGATAGCGCCCCCCGGAGGCCCCCAGCCATGACAAACACTGCCTGTCCCAGGTTCAACCCTGAGATGGGGACGGGTTGATGATGGGACGGCATGGGGTGAATGGAAGGGTTCGCAAGCTTCGAGCCCTTCAGCATAGGTGCTTTGCATCCCATGATGCGCTTCACAACTGCTGGCACTCCTGCCGACACTTCTCTCACATGTTCCGCCTTTCAGGACGAGGGGGTTGAAGATCAGGATGGTGACAAAGCGGAACAGGAACATGAAGAGGAAGATGATGGGTATGGAGCCGTACACCCAGCCGGGGCTGGTCAGGTAATCGGATGACCTGAGGAATGGATTGGATTAAGGTCGGTAGCCAACCAGTAAGCCATGAACACGCTCTGAGGTGCAGAAAGCAGATGCTGGGTTCAGGCCGCAGGTCAGGAGACGACACACGCTATCAGCCAATTTTGTGCAGCTGCCCAAGAATGCAAGACTGACGATCCCCAGCCCTACACTGCAAACGCACACAACTAGGCAATCACCTGACAAGGAAGTTGAGGGAGGCCACCCCCGCCCAGAAGAAGACCACGCCATTCGCGACGGCGGAGACACTGTCCCAGACTGCAAACCACACCTTTTCCTCCTCCTCCAGTGCAAACCTGCCCCAGAGGGAGGTGGCAGCACCCCACAGACCAAAGACTGCCACGGCAATGACTCCCGAGGACTGCAAAGGGGGGTGGGTCGGTGCGAAGGAGATCAGAGCCCCAGTGGTCAGAACATCTTGCACATGTAGAGCGGTGGTATCAGCCGTTGTCTGAGCGTGTGATGCCAACTGGCACAAGTTTTGGCAGATGGGCATTCGCAACCAACGCACCCTCCAGCATGAGAACAATGCGGATGATTGGCAGCAGGATTGTTTCGTGCAGGGTTCCGCATCGTTTTGGCTCAAGCACCATACTGCTCCAAATCCCGGAGCCATCATAAGCATGCAGCCCACCTGTGCGGGCCCCTGCCCAACGTAAAAGGAAAGGTAGGCAATGGCCAGGATGACTGTGGCATCCAGGGGCACGGGAATGCCGCGCCACCTTAGCAGACGCATGAGCCAGCCGGTGAAGTAGCCGAACGCCAGGCCGATGGCCAGGCCTATGCTGGTGAGCCTGGTGATGTGGGCGGGAAAAGAAATCTGGTGATCCGCTGGGCCATGATCCAAAGAGGTGATGAGGAACGAGGGCTGGCAGGTGTGAGCATGGCAGGCATGCCATCTCATCATGCAAGGAACTTTTGATGCATGCTCTCATCCTTCCAGGCAGCAACACAACCAAATCCAGGCCCCACTTGAGGATCTTGACCACGATGTGGCCCAGGAGAGCCGTGGCCGGGGGCAGGGGCTGGTTCTGGTACTCCTCCAGCACCTCAGCAAAGATGGAGTACAGCGTGATGGCTGGACGTGGGTGGGGAAGGGGGTGGGATGTGTTGGGTCGTCTTTTCCGGAGGAGAACCTCAGGGGGATGCGCATGTAGGCCGTTCGGCGCACCTGACGCGTCGTTGAAGAGCGCCTCCCCCTCCATCAGCACCACCAGCAGCTCCGGACCATTGGCTGGATGGGGGTTTTGAGAGGGTTTGGATTGTTGCCTGGGCATGCCATCGTGACGATGGCTCAAATATTTGGACCTGAGGTCTTCCAAACGTTCCACCCTCCACATGCTTCACCCCTCCCCGGGCCCGCACCGGCTTTCAGCAGGGCCGACACCGAGACAGCGTCTGTGGGTGCCAGCATGGCGGCAAACAGAGCCCCATGGGCCCAGTCCATGCCCCGTCCAGCAAAGCCCAGGGCATGCAGGACAAAGGGGGTCAGCACCAGCACGTTCAGGATGACCATGGCGTAGGCCAGGATGCCGATGTTGAGCGCGACCTGGTTGATACGGGAAGGGTAGTTTTGGCTTGACAGGGGGGGTCCCGAGTGGAGGGCAGCGGGCGGACCGAGATCCGATTGGATGCTTGGTGCAGGTACCTACAGTGGAGGGTATGCAGCCGCTGCAACCCCAGCTCCCAAAGCCCCAGCCCACCTTGCGAAAGAGGGAGAACCTGATGCGCAGCGCAGCATCGGCCAGCAGGGGCGGCAGGAAGACGTAGAGGAAGAGGTCTGGCGGCTGGATGCCCAGCCAGATGCTGACCGCGTTGCCAAGGTGGCCCAGGTTTACGTAATAGTTTACTACCCCGAGCACGCCCCCCGCCACCAGCACGCCTGTCAGGGCCAATTTCCCAGACAAGCCGGCGGTGAAGAGCACCGCCAGGGCCAGGAAGAGGATGGAGTCTTGGTCCTCGAGTGGGACGGAGCAGTAGTTGAAAGACTCTGCACGAGGAGAGGGTGTGTGGGTGACCGGGATAAAGGGTGGGGAAGGTCTCACCGGGTTCAGACGCAGGCCGCGCCGTGGGCTCCACATGCTCATTCCCTGCTAGGAGATGCTCCTTTGGTCCATGCATGCCCCTGAACTCGGAATCTCATCCGGGAAACGCAGGTGCCAAAGCAGGCCTGACCTTCGGCATTGGACCGTGACTTGAGCGTGACATTGTTGGTAAGGCAGTAGGCTTCGTCGTAGAACGACCTATAGGTCTCCGGTGTCCAGATGGAGTGCAGTGCATGCGCCAGCTCCTCATTGAATTGCGTGGAGTTCATCGCGCAGATGCAATACTTATAGGGGTTAAAGCGCTGTGGGTGCTGCGATCAGCACCGCGCATGCAGCGCTGAATCGGTCCAGATGCTCAGGTCATGAAGTGAGGCAGAGGGCGTCCTCGGCGCTCTGACCGTCGCAGGAAGGACCGTTACTCCTTTCCATGACATCTATTATGAACCAAATGCTTTGTACACATCATCCAGAGTCGCAGCTGCGCCATGTGGGGATGGCTGGCGCATTGATACCCCAAGAGCATCTCGCAGGGTTTTGCGCCCTGCGCATGATCTCGTGGAGGGGCGAGGTGTCACAAAAGGTGGAGCAAGTCTCACAAGAAGGGGCCTGCGATGCCTTCCTCCAGATCCAGATTGAATCTGTTCGTGTAAAGTCCACGATATGTCTGCGCTCACGATGACGACGGCACCGTGCCTGGTGTCGAGTCCAGGGAGTGCCCTGAGAGGTCGAAACTTCTCTGCCCCGTTCCAAAGTGAGTTTCGGACATGCTGGTCACGAGCATACGTGATGTTTCTATCACTTACCTGTGGCACACTGGGCAACTCGCATGCACCATCCCACAGGTGCCTGGCGGGGTCGGGGGAGACGCTGCTCCACAGTCCAGATCCATGCGATCCGTGATCCACCCCAGCCGCCGCCGGGGCCGCCCGCCCAGCCCCCCGTCTTCAACAGAATGGAGGACATGATCCAGAACCGGTTAGGGAGCGATGGCCCCCAGGCCGGATCGCGCTGGAGGGAGGTGGCTGGGGCCTGGGTGCTCAATCCGCCGGGCAACGAGCCCTCAGTGGTGGTGCACTTTGTGGGCGGTGCCTTTGTTGGCGCGGCCCCCCAGCTGGCATACCGGCCCTTCCTGGAAGCCCTGGCGGCCCGTGGCGCCGTGGTGAGGAGGCTGGCGGCACTGGTTTGGAGGATGGGTAGGGGGACAGGAGGGTGCCTTTGAAATGAATGAGGCAAGGCTGTCTTTGCATGGAAGGCCGGAAGTCTGAACATCCAATTGCTGTTCTGCCTGGACAGTCAACAACTCCTGGACGCCACGAGGGTTGCCAACAGGGCTGGCTGGCTGCGGAAAGAAACACTGATTCCGGTGGTTTCCGTGCCTCGATCACCTGCAAGCTCACCACACATCCACCCCACAGCCCACTGAACACCCCCTTCCGTCCCCCACACCCACCCAGGTCATCGCCACCCCCTTCCACACCGGCTTTGACCACACACGCGTAGCGGATGAGGTGCACTTCATGTACCAGAGGGCGCTGAAGGCTTTGGGACCACGGGCCCAGCGCCTGCCCACTTATGGCGTGGGGCACTCGCTGGGCTCCCTGCTGCAGCTGCTGCTGGCCTCGCGCTACGTCGTGCAGCCGGCCGGCAACATCCTCATGTCCTTCAACAACAAGCCAGGTGAGATGGGCTGGCATGTGGGAGGTCATGCTTGCTTGCCATTCCCTTGGTCCATGGACCATGTGCCGATGGGCCACAGGCATGCTGTATGGTGAGCTTGGACAGGCGAATGGGTCCGGGCTCTATGTCTCGCCCTGTCGACCAACGCCTGACCCGGGCCCTTCCCCTGCCCCTTCGCCAGTGACGGACGCCATTCCCCTGTTCTCTGGCTACATCGCGCCGGGATCGCAGTTCATTGGCCCCCTGCTGTCCCAGCTGGCGGCGTCGCCCCTCAGAAGCAGCCTGGAGGGCTTCCTGGCCTCCCTCAAGAGTGAGCTGGCTGTGGAAACAAGGGGCCGAAACTTTGGGCTCTGAATGGGACGGCGTTCACAGAATGAGCTACCCGCATGAGTCCCTGGATAGATCGGTTGAGGAAGGGCTGCCTCCAGGGGGAGGCTTCAACCTTTTCGAGCAGGCACCTCTGGCCCTGCTGCTACCGTGCATGTGCCCATGCAATGCTCTCTTGGTCCCGGGCATCCCCATCGTATAAATGTATGCGATGTATGCGA